AGAAAAACATTCAATAGCTTCTGAATGTGTTTTTAATCATAGATTCAGTTGTAAGACATAGAGACTGTAATCTCGGAGTGTAAGAACCATGGTGCTACGGAAAACATTCAAACATCGCTAGTAATTCTTCATATCTGTAACAATGCAGGTTGAGAAGAGATGTAATTCATGGAAATCATAATCTCATACTGTAAGGGGAAACTTTTCTGGTACAACTTTTGTATCAGAAATGTACCACATCTGGAAGGAGTCGATGCTGAAGACTGTCTCCTTAGGAAACACAGATTCCATCAGTGCTTTGAAAGCATGCTGCAAAAGCCCCTGTACCTCCCATCATGCCGGAGCACTGGAGCTCAGTGCCATATAATAAGTGGGTAATAGAGTTTGTGGGTTCTTAGCCAGATTCTGCCTGCCTTTGCAGTCTCCTTAAATTTACTTTTCTCTTTTTGCCTATGATTCTGGAGGCAGGGTGAAAAACCCTTGTCTGTACTGTGAAAATCAAAGTTTCTGGTAAGTGAAGCTAGAAATTGGTACCTTTGGTGAGTCTCCTTATAGTTACGGACAAGTCCATGCAAGAACTATATCACACCTGGGGCCATAATATTTCTGATTATCCAGATTGTCACCTTCTTGACTAAGTCAGGCATAATGCAACCTGAGATGTAATATGCTTCTGTCAGTTAAAAATTTGAAATGCTTAATTATTTCATTCCACACAGTGATGTAGACATTTGTTTCATCACAAATTTAAATAGTTTATTAGGAAATGTATTTTTCATTGTGTTGTTTTATTTCCAAGATTTACCTATTAAATTAGTGCTGCTATAAACCTGGATGTACATATATACTTGAGGTATGATGTTTTGGAATTTGCCAAAAGTGGAGTAGCTGGGTCAAATGAGGCTTCCAGTTCCAGATTTCCTTGGAACATCTAGACAAACTTCCACAGTGGTTGCTCCAGTTCACCAACAGTACAGAAGAGTTCATTTTTCCCAGATGTCTCTGTAACATTTGTTATTGGTGCTTTTCTTGACCCTGACCATTCTTTCTGGTTTGAGATGGAATCTCAGTGTGATTTTAGTATGCGTTTTCTAATGACTAATGATTCTCAATTTTTTTCATGTATTTATTTGCCATTTGCATTCCTTCATCTGAGAACTGTGTATTCATCTCTGATACTCATTTTTATTAGATCTTTGAATTTCATGGGTTTGATTTTTTTTTTATTTCTTCATATATTCTATCTAGAAGTCCACTGTCTGAGGAATAATTGACTATGATTTTTTCTCAATTTGCATATTTTATTTTCACTTTTTTGCAGATTTCTTTTGACCTGCAAAACCATTTCAAAATGAAGAGATCCCTGTTATTAATTCTTGGAAGAATTTCCTGAGCTATTCGATTTTTGTTCAAGAATTCTCTGCCTACCCCTATGTCTTCACTTTTTTTCTCTACTTGGTCTTCCAGCAGGTTTAGTGTTTCTGTTTTAAGATTTAGATCTTTGACTCATTATGTTGTTTTGTAAATAATGCATTACACTAGAAGGTAAGTTATTAAAAGACGGAATCCTCAAAATCACTTCTTAGAAGTGAGGCATGACAGAAGTATCCGCATCTCAATATGAAGACTTAGATACAGAAATGAGAATGATTTCCTATCTTTTCTTCTGGGATTTGTCTTAAGTTACTTACATCATGATGTAAAAAAAAAATGTGAGTTCTGCATTCAAACACATTAGGCCTCCTACTTAGTGATGTCCTTGTGACTGTCATGCAAGTCTATAAACTCCATGAGTTCTGCAAAATGAGTGACACAATCATCTGAGAAAATGTTTAAATCATTTAATAAAACTAATATCTATAATATGAGAAGATAAAGGGAAAATAGAGGGAGTGAAGAAGAGAAAGACAGAGGACAGTGAATCTCCACTTTGTGTCATGAGAAAGAAAATGGAGATGCGTTGCATCCAGGCTGGAGAACCTGTTCCACTGGGAGCTGGAAGGTTCTATTCCGAAAGAGGATATAGAAACTTTCTAATTCTCCAAGAGCAGAATGCAGCCTTCTGAGTGGATGCAGAGAAGACCTGGGCAGCTGGTCAAGTTCCAGAGTAGATGCTTACAGCCGAAATTGCTAAGGGGAAAGGGCTCCAGTCCTGGAAAGGACTCCATGTACTAAACACTGGCATAGGATCAGTGTCAGGTTTAAGGCAACACTGTCTAGAATTAAGTGGCTCAATAAAATGAAGGTTAAGGAAAATTATTATTTTTATCTAATTTTAATTTTTTAATTTCTTTTCCTTTGACTGCATGATTTCATACTAACTGATCCATTTCATATTACTGACAAAGGTTAACTGAAGGAAAAGTCTGCAGCAGGTGGCCTTAGTACCTCAAAGCTGGTTGGAGAAAATTGGAGGTTGAGCTCTAGTTTTAGCCCCTACCGGTTGTCTAAACATAGGTTAATTTTAATTTGGTCCTTTTTCATTTGAATTTATGAAGCCATGTTTTTAATGAGAAATTAACCACATATAAACTTTAGAGTACAAAACAAAACAAAGTTCTCCAACAGTTAGAGCCTGACAGGAGTTAACATTATATGGTTCCTAGAAAAACGTATCCAGCTTTGGAATCTCTAAAATTTTCAATTTAGCATATATAAAAACAGAAGCAATACTACTGTATAAGGAAGAGAAATTAGTGTAAAGCAATCGTACATACTAAGCACGACTGCACAACTTTCAGTGCACAGTTGCCCTCTTGACCTCGTTGCTGCCAAGTCTCCTAAAATTGCTGTCCAGACCCAAGTTCCTTAAGCCTTCCCTAGTGACCTAACAGTCAAAGTGTTCGTTATATATTTGCTATATATAACTTCCACAAAATCTAACACTCACTGAATGTCTGGAAAATCCCATGCATCACAACCTAATGAAAAGACCCTTTTAGAGAAGTGTCATCTATTTCTATTGCTTCAACAAAATTCAGCAACATAAAGGATATGCAGGCTCGGTTTTAAATTCCCAGTTCTGCGGGATAAAATGTGCCTTGGTAGTGGTTTTTGTAATGTTCTCATGAAGGGATTTCTTCATTCATTTCCTGAAATGCTCTGTAAAAAATGTGGAAATACACCTGGTTACCCTGTGCATTCCGCAAGTCTAAAAAAAGATTCCAAGACACCTTGCTTTCCTGTACAGGTACATATTTATTTCTTCTGTAGCCAGTATCCTAACGTTACTGCCAGCAGTTTTCTATCATAGCCACAGTGGCCCTGTTCTTTTATCACATCTGTCCAAATGCATATGCTAAGGACTTCAACAGACTTCATCGTCACTTTGTGGTTTAAGAAGTGGTTTATTTATTTATTTATTTATATGTGTGTGTGTGTGTGTGTGTGTGTGGTAACAGAGTTAAAACTTACTTACACATTTGCCAGGCAGATGCTTATGACACTGAGCTAATTCACCAGCCCCATGACGTTCCTTAATTTTAGAAGAGGACATTGGATAATGAGAATATGTTCCCATATTGTGAATTTTGTTCCTGTGACAAGGGAGTCAGTCTCTTTATCTCTTTGCATCTCTTTTTCTTTCTCTCTCTCCCCTCCTTTCCCCCTTTCTCCTGAAGCAGACTGTGGCCTCTCTACTTCTTAGTACTAGGCCTCCTTACCCCTGCCTCTAATCTTCCCTTTTAAACTCTCCACCTCTCCCACCTGATCGTCATCTTCTAGTTCCCACATCCCCTCCTATCTTTTAATTTTCCCCATTTCTTTCCTGTTTTCTGTCCCTCCATCTCACAATCCTAAATATTCATTTTAGGAAATAAAACAAGGAGAAGTGTTCCACTCGAGTTCCATAATTACTGAATATTTCTGATTCCATGTGACTCTTACAAGTATCAGAATTTGAGGAACTAATAGCTAACATGATGGTATTTGAAGGTGAGGGAGTTATGGCAATGGATGGAGATGCATGTTTTGTTGTATACCTTAGCTAAATGTGCATAAAGGGAGTGTAACCCCCTACCATTCTCACTGCAGCACAGCTCTCATAGTCTGAAGGGAGAACTAAGACTTCCGCATTCCACCATCCCGGGACTCCCTTGCATTGTGACCAAAGTCCTGTGCATGGATAGTTTGTGTCAAATACTTTCAGGAAACCAAAAAGTAATTGAAAAGAATTTATTTTTATATCTCAAAACAAGATAAAACCCCATAGAAAGCATCCAGTTATTTAAAACATCAAATAGTAAATGCACTAAGAATTCAAGCATTTATCATGTTTCAAATATTTGCTTCAATGTACTTCTCTGCATATAGTAGGGGTGTTTAACATTTCCACAAAAATTCCCTATTCTAATGTTTGTTTTCAACACAAGAAATGTGAGAAAACTGTTATTTAACTTTCCCAGTCTACAGTGTTTTGTCCTAGTTGACTGAATCAATTTGCAGGTATGGGCATCAAAATCCTGACTCACACAGGGAATGTTATGGCATTACTTCTACACTTCCATCTTTAGCCACATCAAAATGAAACAAAAATTATATCCGCAAGGTTTCCAAGGAAATTAAATATCACTGTTCTCTAACACACCCTCATCATATTTGTTCCATTTAAGGTTCATAAATTCAAAAAGGAATTTCAACAAATTTCAATAACATTGCAGAACTGAGGCTTAAAAACTTCTAATAGCACAGACTGCATTTTCTTCATGTTAGTACCAGTGCACTACCACAAAGCTTGCCAAAGTGAATGCAACCAGGTAACATGTGCTAAGTACACTTACGAGCTATGAGGAGAAACTAATAAAGTTTTAAGCAAATCTTACAGGAAGGAACAAAGAAAAAGCTTAAAACATAGACTTACATAAAGGAGTGAGAAATGTAAACAATAAACATGTCTTAAACATTGACTCCATTGCATCACCTACTACTGTGGACTTTCTTAACTTGTGCAGGAAAATTGCCTATAGTAAAGCCCACTTTCTTAAATTGTGTGATCTGATGTCTCAGATATCAATGGGCTTTGCAAAAGCAGGATACATAGCTCGGGCAACTGCCCTAGGTTTGCCAGTAGACACACGCTTGGCAGAAAGTGAGGCTTGGAATTGTTCTATCTCCTCTCTTCCAAAGTCTTCATAAAGATATGAGAAGTAGGGAGGACAGATCTTATTCATCCCGACCAGATACTGCATGATTTTCTCCTTGCTGATCTCAGCGTGCGCTTGGGGGCCCCACAGGAACTCGCGGCGTGGAAGAAGACAGCCAGGCACCTGCCGGTACTCCAGGTATTTCAGTTTCACAAAATCCTGAGTGAGGAGCCTATTGGCATTTCCAAAGAACATGTGCTTCTTGCCGGGATACACGTGCAACCTATTCAGGAATTTCCAGATGTCTTCTTCAGAAGCGCGGTGGCCTTTCATGAGGATCACAGAAAGGATTTTCATCAGCAGCCCGGACTTAGGGTAGCCCCTGCCAGGGCGCACCCTGCCATTGTTGGGGAGGCTCAGCATGCTGAAAAGGCTGTAGGAGTGACGGGTGGACTCCACTTCTCTCACTTCCATTGCGAAGATCGCCTCCAGCTGCTTTTGGACAGTCTTGAAAATTTGAGGAAAATCATCTCTGTACTTTTTGTCGATCGACAACAGCATTTCTGACCTAGTAAAGGGCTGCTTCAAATCAAATTTTTTGAGTATCAACGACCCCAATGTCTCAATCGGGCACTGAGGTTCTTCAGACATATACTCAGTGCAGTGACTGGCTTCAGAAAGGCACTCGTCATACTTACAACTGGAACCTTGGTCAGGACTGACCACAGAGCCATCAGCAGGGAGAGCACCCTCAGATGGTGATCCCCTCAGGGATGTCAGGGGAGGGCTACAGGGAGCAGCCCCACTTACACCCTTGGTAAAAGAAGACTCCTTCCCCGCTTCTGACTCTTCTGCAGCGGCAGCTGGCGGTGCTGACCTCGCTGCTGCTTTCACTGCAGCTCGTGCTGCTATTGTTGTGGCTGCGCCTGTGGCTGCAGCTGGCGATGTTGCTTTCCCTGTAGGTGGTGCTGACGCTTTCGCTCCTGCCTTTGCTGCAGGTAATGCTGCTGCTGCAGCGGCAGGGGGTGATGTTTTTGCTGCTGCTGTGGCTGCAGGTGTTGCTTCTGCTTTCACTGCTACTGCCGCTGCAGCAGATGCTTCTGCTTTCTGTGCCACCTCAACACCCTGCATGTCATCTTTGGCCTGAGCGCCTTTCTGACGAGCGTGGCGTCTACTCTTGTGACCACGAGGCATGATGAAGTTGCTTAGGCCCAAAAGGGAAGAATGAGGAGAGAACTGTTGTGCAGACACCTGGAGGAAGGAAAACAAGATTGTGTGAGCAACTTTGTTAGAGAGATCTCTCTAGGAACCAACAGCGGATCTGCTTTCTCAAGTATGTGCTTTCACTGGTGGTCTGGAGTGGTAAAAGGACTGCATATAGGTGTCATGTGTTTATTGTGTTGGGTCCTCTTGGTTTGTTAGAACACTTATCAGAAACTACACAGAGGTCCTGTACTTCTCACTTATGCTTCTCAGAAGCTGTCTCTACCTCAGAAAAGTAACATTCTGTATCCCACATCCATAGGGAAAGAGTGGAAGAGATTCTAAGCAGTCACCATGGGATGGGCTCTGCTCTCTGAGCCTTAAGGGCAATCAATTTCTCTCCCATGGGGTTCCAAGGTATTCACTTCTTATCCAGAGAAATCTGATCTCCAGGCACTACCTGTTACTGCTGCATGTTATTTAAATATTCTCACCAAATCTGCTTCATGCTACAATTGGTATGCAGCAGTGACAAACAGAAACAGCCTGAGACGTGTTTCTTGGGTTTGGGATGCTGGATCTAAGGATCAGGGTGTGATTCTGTGATGAAAGTCAATCAAAGGCGGTCGTTTCAACGACTCATTTGACCTCTGAAGCCTTCCTTTACCTGGGACCTCTGTGGTGCTGCTGCCTTTGCTGAGACTCTTTGGGAGCATATGACTGCCACATTTCCTTCCCACATTTGTCAACTAGGACTAGGAACAGATGGTGTTTCTTTGAGTTCTTTCTTCTCAACTAACATTATGCATCAATTTATTAGTTATTTGCTCATTAATTATTTGCTCATTCAGCTTCTTACACTAGTGACACTATTTTAGGGTTACATGAGTAGGTCTGATTAATTTCTCTTATGAGTATGTTCTCAGCTTAATCTAGTTATAAAATTCTCAAGTTCATCCTTCTTTATGAATGAGTACTACTTTAATTTTTAAAAGAGCCACATCTCTTTATCTATTCCTGAGTTCATAGGATTTGCACTGTTACCAGGTTTTAGCTATTATAAAATAGAATCTGCAGTGATGAGGGAACGGGGAAAGTCAGAAATATAGGAATAAAAAAGGCATATATATATATATATATATATATATATATATATATATATATATATACAGAGAGATTGTTAATGTACTTACACTGCTAATGCAGTTTAATCAAAATATGATGCCTCTATATTTTAGCTGGAGTAATTATTCTGATGACATCAAACTACCATGGGTTATTTTTTTCTGTTACTTTCTTGTCTTCAAATTTTGCATTCTTTTTTTTTTTTTTGTTTCTTCAAAATAAAGCAAATGTGGATTTGTATGTAATGGAGTACTACACTCTCATAAAAAAGGATCGATGTGAGACATTTTTTTGTGAATATATACACAAGAATAAGATGGCAAACTGTTAAGCAAAACATACCACACACTCATATTTTAATATAAAAAACTGAAAAGTATAGATGATTTTGTAGTTAATGCTTGGTTTTTCTCACTGACATTAGCATGCTCACACTAACATATAGGAATATGTAGAAATGCTCCTACTATGGACCTCTGGTTATGCACTTTAGAAAAAGTTCTTCCCCACAATTAGCCACACCCCATTCACCATATCATGGAGGAAATTAGTGCGAATCCAAAGCCTATCCCTCATTCCGGGTTGCCAACAGCCATGGCCTTCTGGTCTTTACATGCTGTGCTCAGAGTGACTCCTCAACAGCTGGAAACCTCCCTCATGCTGACTATAAGGTACTCAGCTCAGCCTGAGCCCCCAGTGTCCCTGTTACCCTCCTTGCAGCAAATAGCCTGATAGTTACAATAGGTTTCCTAGAACTGACCACAGGACATTGGTGGTCCTCAGTCTTGCTGGAGTCCCGATCTCCTGAGCACTGCTTGGTGCTCCTGTACTCTTGAATCCTTGATTGAACGATGTTCCTTGCTGTGTAGACCCGGCCCTGGCCCTCACTGCAAGGCTTTCTGCTCTAGGACCACGTGAGACCCCAGCTCACACGTGGCGCCCTCCATTTTGACTGCGCACTTCTCCGACGCCGTAATAGTCTTCTTGAAGGGCCCCTAAACCCAGAATACACGGACTCCGGAGTTAGCAGGGCCTCCTTTCCTCCCCTGCACTAGAATACCCACTACTCTTCACCAAGAGGGTCCCCAGACCTCAGCCTGTCTCAGGCAACCTGTGCTCTTGGCGCTCCCCCCCAACAGCCCCGAGAACACGCGGTGGCTTTGTGAGGCGGGGCCCACACCCCCTTCCCAAGCCGGTGTTTCTCCCTCTCAGGACAGGTTCTCACCTCCTCAACCACAGCCTGGGTCCTTTCGCTGACTTTCGCTGGGATGGCAGCAGTGGGCGACGCCCTTCCCTGGCAGAGGTCTGGAAAAGGGAAAAGGAAGCGAGCGCTAGCGCCACCCCTGTGTCAGGCCTCGGAGAAGAGCGCAGCCGGGACAGCTTCTCTGGCGCCCCCTCTGTGAGGAGTGCGGGCTCCCTCAGTCTCATTGGTCACGGACCTGGCTCAGACCTTCTGGGCCCTCCTTCTGCCACGCCCCCTTAAAGGGCGGATCCACACCGTAGAGACCCTCCTTGCAGAGTTAGAGTCCCTTCACGACATGGTGTGCTGAGACCTATCAGCCAGTGAAGGGAAGGCCCTGCCTTAACCCCCATGTTACTGCACTGGGTTTTCTCAAACAGTACCTTTCAAAGTCCCAGGCCAGGCACTTACACTGTATTCAAAGGATTTCGTGAAAATGCTGAATCCCTGAAAACTTATAAGTATTGCCGCTTTTCAGATATTAGGACACTAGCTCTGTATCTCATGTCTGATATTGACAAACCTGCAATACAATGCTGTGTGTTTGGTATCTCATTTGTCGGTCAGAAAAAAACACGTACTAACCTTTTTGTCTATTTATACTCAGGCTGTGTTTATATTATTTTTGTTCTGCAAGAATTAGTTCCTTAGTGTAAATTGTCTCAGAAGAATAATTTGAGGAGATCACACTCAAAAATTATTTACATTGCTTAGGTAGATTGTTATATTGTTAGCAAACATCTTTTCCTCCAGATACATCTGAAGTTTTTATGATAGATTTTACAATTGATTTACAATATAATATTTAGACACCGCATGTTTTTGTGAAATCATGTAAGAAAATTAATGTATATACATTAATGTATCATTGTATTCTATATAATAAATATTTATTCATTGATATTTATGTGTATTTTGTAGTGTACTTATAAATAAACTGAGTGTAGCTATACAACTTTAAATTAAATTTAAAATTGCATATATATCAATATTTTTGGGATATATATTTGTATATATTGTTTTGTTATACATTTATATTTACGTGTATGTGTTTAAGAGTAGTAATCAGTAAGATAGAGGTACTCAGTTCATTTTTCTTTATAATGTAGGTTGTTGTAAACTCTTGATGAATTTTCTTGATGGACGTTTCTTATCTCTGACACCACCCTGAGAATATGAAAATATTACTAGTTATTTCTCAGACCATTACAGTTGACCATCCTGTATGTGCACAGAATATTCTTGGCATTTGGAATTCCTATGTTAAAATTCTTCCACTTATATTGCCTGTGTTTTGAAGTGGAATGTTTGATTACTGCTTATCTTTGGATGAAACAATGAGAGGCCACCCAAGCTAACACATCTGCTGAGTTCATAGGAAAAGAAAAGTTAAGTTTTTCTCCCTCTACCCTATGGGGAAGCAGCAGGAAGATACAGGTTTCCTTTGGACACCTCAACTGGAAACCTATCTTCTGGTACCTTGATATTGAAATTATCAGTTCTGAATTCATCAGCAATAATTTTGTTTTGCTCAGCCTCACAATGAGTTGTATTGTCTTCTTGAAGCAGGAAATCAAATCAATTTGGAAAACCCAAATATATATACATATATGTGTGTGTGTGTGTGTGTGTATATATATATATATATATATATATATATATATTCCTGATGACTGACAAATTTTAAGTATTTAATGAGTTATTTTACATAGATGTTTATAGAGATAATTGCACCATTCTATTTATAGTTGTTATGTTAATTTAGAATGTGTCACAAAATGAATTACATTCAAAGAAATTCAGTCAGCCTAAAGTCTACTTTAGAAAATAAAATTCACATCTTTCACCAAGGTACCTGTTACTTAATTTGGAATTAGTGTGTCCATTCCTGCTGGATACAGATCAAATCTGCTAGAATATCAAGGTTCGTCTAGAGAGTGACCCCAACATCAATTCTGGCCTAGCTGCTTCTAATTTCATTCATTTCTTTCACAAAGAAATATCTAGCCATGCCTTCAAATTTGTCAATTTCACCGACAACCTAGTTATAATGTCCCATTGTGCTTGTATTTCCAGTTCAAAGCTGAATATGGCAATGTGCATGATTTAAATAACTTCAGCGTTATTCATGCTGGCAGTGCCCACTCAAGTCATAACCCAAGGAGTCAGGCCCAGGTATCTCACTGAACGATCAAAATGGGGTTGCAAAGGAGAGTAGAGAGGCAGAATGGCTTGGCAATTCGGGGTGATTCTTACAATGTGTGTGACAGTGAGCATCCATGAATTATAAGGAGCAGATGGGTCTGGGAAGCAGATATAACAGGGCCTGTAATCTAAACTATAGTTGATAGGAGGTAACTTGTGAATCAAAGGTGGAGGGAGCATGTTCTATCATAACTTTGGAAATTCCAACCACAAATATTTCGGATTGGGACTGTATTCAGAGATACTTTATTTAAACAATGTTTGCACAATACCCAATTCAGTCCTCTTCAACATATTATGAATTGCTCACCTTTTCAAAAAGGTGTTAGGATGAACAAGCCATAACAATGTGCAAACACACAGGAAAAATCAGATAAAGAGAACAAGAGAGATAGCACATGCAAACAAACTAGTGATGTCT